GGTGGCAGCAGAGTACCGGCTAGTTCGGGGGTCCACGCTTGGAGAGAGTGTGGGGGAGGGGTGCGCAGGGACAAACGTGCTTGGGGGCTTTTGGCTTCTTTCCGGGCTGCTGCCCCAGATAAAACCCACTTCTGGCTGTGGTACCGATCCAGACGCTCAATCCAGATCAATCAATGAACCAGAATGACCTCTAGTCCACGTTAGCAACCTCCCCTCCCCTGTGCCCCAGGTCCCATTAGCTTCGTCCTCCTCCACCCGCCAGGGCAGAATTCAGGGAGCACAGAGGGGGGCTCAAGCTTATACTTCCCCTGCAAATCAGTGGATGACCCTCTCCCTGCCCTCCACTCATAATAACCAGATTTAGCAAAAATAGCAACACCCTGTTCAATCTGAATTTCAGATAAATACCCCATCTCTGTTAGGGAGAGGGGTGTCCCATGCAATATTTGAGATAAACTTATACTAAAAAAAAGAAAGATTCATTTATCTAAAACTCCCATTAATTGGGTGTCTTGTGTCCTCTAGGGTGAACTGCTTCCGCTCTGGCACTGGGAGTTCTGTTAGTGGCTCCTGTGCCTTGGAATGGGCATGTGTTCATCCTTGGGACGGAGTAGGGAGGTGGGGGGGGGGGGGCAGTGGAGCATGTCAGCTCTGGGCAGGCCATAGAACCAGCCCTTTCTCCAAGAAGTTGGACAACTTTTAACATAACTGTGTGCCGTTTCATACGGTCACTGTGACAAATGACCACAAATGAGTAGTGGCTTGAATGAGAACAATGCAGATTTATTCTGTGACCGTGCTGGAGGCCAGAAATCCTAAACCCGGGTGTGGGCAGGGCTGGTCCTTCTGGAGGCTCCAGCGAAGAATCATTTTCGGCCTCTTCCAGCTTCTAAAGGCACCGAATCGCTGGCTCGTGGCCCCTCCTCTGTCCTCACAGCCAGCAGCGCAGCCTCTGCCTTCTCTGACTCTCACCCTCCTGCCTCCTGTTATGAGGACCCTGTGATGACCCTGGGCCTCCTGGGGAATCTGGGCTCATCCCCATCTCAGGGTCCTTGACTTAATCCCATCGCCAAAGTCCCTTCACCATGTGAGGCAACATGTCCACAGGTCCCAGGATCAGGACTGGGGAAGTTTTGGGGTCAGCCCAGGAGCTGTGCCTCCTCTGTGGCCTTTGTTGCTTTGGGACCACTGTGGTCAGGGCCTCCACATACCCCACACTCTTAACCATCTCAGGGCGTGGCAGCTGTCCTGCTGTCCTGCCTCTAAAACTATTGCACGATCTGCAGAGCAAACAGCATCCCTAGATGTGTCCCTTTTTGTTTGGGGCCATGTCAGTTTACATTAAGCCCCAATAAAATACAAAATTCAATGTGTCAGTGCCACAAGCCACCTCTCATGCTCAGTCACCCCATGTGTTGGAC